TTAATTAAGTAGTAGTACCCTAATTAGCTATAATTTATTTCCAAAATATTTCCAGCCCGAGTACCCCAAAAAAAAGAAAAACGAAGTCCGATTAATCAAATTTAGCCAGGATCCACTAACATCTAAGCACCTACTATTATACACGGGACTCTCACCTCAACTAGGGGGGGTTATTATCAGTTTATGTATAGACTCTGGGAGAGAAGGGTAAGTAAGCGAGAGAGCGAGAACAAGAACGAGAGCAAGAGAGCAACAGCAGAGCCAAAAAGCAAAGCTAACAACCCCAAATGGCCAGTAGAAAGACAAGGCGTCGGCGGCGAGAGGATGAGGAAGAGAGCAGATGGCAGCCAAGGGCCCGGGGGTGGTGAGAAGTGAGGACGACTGGCAAGACTCAAGAGGACGACGTATCAGAGGCTGAAAGAGCGTGAAAGGCACAAGCGAGATGATTTGCCTTTGGAAGCAACACTTGAATGGGGTCTACTGGGAGGGCCAGGGGCTGGCCCGTGTCTACAGGTGCAGATGAAGCTGGGGGGCCGCAGCTTCAAGGGAACGGAAACTGGGAGACGAAGAGAAAGAGAGAGAGAGGATGGATCATGGAAGAGGGAGAGACCAGGGGTGCTACGAACAGTAACGAGCTAATGGATTCAATTACAACAGAGAACACCCACCGAGAGAGAGAGCAAAAGGCCTGGAAGGGTGTGTGGGTGGATTTCCCGGTGAGATTAGCCCGTCCCGTCCTGGTTAAGAAGAGGCCGGGCTCGGGAGATGGGGAGCGATAAGGGGGTTCCCAAAGATCACAGTTGACAAGACATATTGATACTGTTGACGCTTGTACAGAGGATACCTTAAGGTACTGCGTAAGGTATCTTAGGTAATGTACGGAGTACGGATACGCAGTAATCAATGCAAATTGACATGGATGATAATGGCAGCAGGTGAGCCCGAGTGACGTCTTTCCTGCCTCGAGATTGAGAGTGGATCCACTGGATCCTCCCACTTGCACTGACCACGTGAGCGTATCCGCACTGTGCCCTACACCAGACGACTATCGCGCCGCATCAGACGCCATGTCTCATCTCCCATTTCTCTCCCATTGCCGTGCCGCCAAGCTCATATTACAGAAATCTCCATGGTGGGAACACAAGCAGAGTCCATCCCGGCCCATCACACGCTTCGCAAGGAGCTAGAGCCTGAATTGGTCCAATTCGTAAAGTGAGATGGGCGACCGCGATACCCTCTTGGACCTCGACCGATGGGTCGCCCATTCGCTTTGGGAAGCTATTCAGCCAATGCTGGATGCACCAGCACAAATCTCGTCTTCAACCTTCGGTGATACTGCCACCAGCCATGCCATACCTGGATCGTGGAATCCAGGGTGTCGAGTCGTCGAGTCGAGTCGAGCCGAGCAGAGAGCTTCGGAGCTGCTGGCACTGGCACTGGCACTGGCGCGGTAGCCGTTCCTGGAAAATCCCCTCGGGTACCGTCAAAGAAGCTGCGTCTGTCAGAGAGATTACCTCGTGTCCTTGGCTCTTTGTTGTGCCCATCACTCGGCATCCCAGTGCCGTCATTTCGTTTTCTCACAGTTCAACTAACTCTTTCTTCAAGAGCAGACACGCAAACGAGATAGCACAGGCAGCTTGCAAGCAAAGATAGGGGACCCATAAATTACGCCCCCAGTGCCCAGGAACAATTCCAACAACGACAGAAACATCAGAAAACCCACAACCCGGTCTGCGAGCTAAAGAGAAGAACAACATCCCTGGCACGCCTATCCGAACTCGTTCCACGATCCATCGCCTTCACAGAGAAAGACATTCTGAGGAGATTTTGTCTGACTGAGCCTGAGTCTCACTGTACACAACCTGAGTCTGTTGCCTACGAAGCAATTACCCACGAGTCTTGCCCCCCCCCCATCGTCGCATCAGATGCCTCCTGGCTTATTACATTACCACACCTGACGCCTCAAGAAGCCGCCTGCCTTGCTTGAATTAGCTTCCAGAGTAAGCACCGCGCGCAAGTGCCAAGCGCAAAGTGGGTGCTGCCGCCGCCGTCGTCTCCTACTTGGGGCCTTCGGGGGGAGTAGTCTGGTCTAACGCCGGGCCAGCGCAGGGTAAACTCAGCCGGGCGGCCGTTCTCCTTTAATGCGTGCGCCGCCCGGGTCCCCCATCAAATAAGACAATTGGAATAAAAGGCAAAGACGAAAAAAAAAAACACAGCGTCCTCGTCCCGATGCGCGACACCACCATCCATCTGCTAGCCCCCCAAGGGCCCCAGCACCCCCTCCACCTTTTCTGATGCGGGTAGCAGACGGGGAGCTCTTCTAAGATGAGTGGACGGGGGTTTCCAGACTGCGGACTCCAGAGCCAAGAGTACGAAGTACAGAGACAGAGAGCTCGAAGCAATGCTGGGCGGATGCCAGCTGCCATTTGCTTAGCGCATGAGAATATCGGGCGGTTGGAGTTTGCCTCATCCATGTCGCTTTCCGTCTGATATTCCCCGCGCATGCTATTGTTGTACACAGAAATGAGAATTTCATCTGGGTGAGAGTGAGTGCTCGTATGAGATTGAGGATACCTTTCCTCAGCGAGATGGGTCTCCCGAACCCTCACGGAGCTAAGCTAGGTAGAAACACCACTACCTCACTTCTCACTCACTCGTCCTAGGTAACCAAACCTCCCCCCAAAAGCTCGCCCCCCTCGCAAGCCTCGCGATGACGGTTGGACAATCGCTTCACTCTCTCAAGCGCTCATCGAAAAGCATCCCAGACATTCCAGAACCATCACCCCGTCCCGATTCACAGCCGCAAAGAACGTCGCCGACCAACCAGCATCCATACAAGCTTATGGGGGGGCAAGATCCAGACATCCCAGACAAACTCATCCCTGGACCGCTCTATCCTCATTGGCCATGTTACCGCCCGATTGAGTGACGGATCTGGTTGGGCAGGCACAATACTCACACTCACACTCAGTGCTCACTCACTAATTTACGCACTCGCATACAGTACAGATACCAAGGTACTCCGAACCACCAACCTTGGCCCGGCTGCTTTTCTCATGGATCCCCATCCCACATTGTCGCCATAAAGTGAACTGAACAAATAAAAAGAAGAGTCCCAGCTTTCCAAGGCACTGGACGCAGGACGGCGGCATGCAGGACGCAGGCTTTGGACCACTCACGCACCGCGCAGCAGGGGTGTTCTCATGCAAAAGAGGGAAATACCGCCGCCAGGGGAAAGGCTTCCCGATTCCGCACCCGCTGCGACCTGGGGCCTTTGACAAGAAAATCACACCGGGATGACCCCCCGAAAGGTCCCCAAAGCAACGTTTTCCCAACGTGGATGTCTTCGCGCCGGGTTCTGTGCCAGTCGGGTCCACCGCAAAAGTTGCAATTCCGCAAATTGGTCTTCCTCTCTCTCTTTCTCTGAGATCTCTTCCAGGTTCTCATAGTCGAGAGATATGTATTCCCGTATCTGATCCTCCCCCCCCCCTCCCCGTTCATCCGTTGAGCAGCTTGACCTTCCCCTAGTCTATATCCCCTCCCCTGCTGGCCAAACCATCAGAGATCAGAATCGCCAGACAACGTTCCCCAAGGCGTTGCATTTTCCCAAGGAAAAAAAGAGAGTGAAAAAAAAAGAAACAAGACACATCCACGGTGCCGCCTGCATTGACCGAAACGGTCTCGGCATGCATCTCCCCGCCGCGCGTAAACATGGGATGACAGACTGCTTAGAGTCTTGAGCTTTCTTTCTCTTTCCCTTCCTTCCCTTCCCCCAGACCCTATTCTACGGAAACAGGCGTCAGAGGTTCCAGAACCCAAAAGGCAGTGGCCAGGACACCCACTTCAAAGCCCAGGGCACCACCACCGCCACAGCCAGCTATACATACTTCGAGACACACAGTGCAAGCCTCCCCCCCCCCCCGAAGCAAACAAATAAAAATGCTGAACAGAACAAAAAAGAGGCTCGTGTGGCGGAGGCTCATGTGGGTGGTGCACCGACGCCGGCGGCATCGGGACGGTGTGTGCGTCCCACTCATTGCCGTGCCGCCGGTTTATACGAGTAAACTTCCCCTTCAATGCAAGATGCGCCTAAGGTATTGTGCGGGGGACGAGCCTCTTTCCGTTGGCTCCCAGTATGTGTCTGGTCCGGCAGTCTGCAGAATGGCATGTTAACCTTGTTCCATCCATTCCCGGCAAGGTGTCAGGCACCTACGGGCCCTACACTGCTGTCTCTTCGACTTGAATCATTCGAATAAAACATGACAACCCATATAACTGGTCGCGTGTGTATGTGTGTGTGTCCCTTACTTCAATCCCAAGTAGACTATCTGCTCATGGGAGACAACTTTCTTTTCTTCGTTCAACGCCTCCCGCTTCTATTAGGTCATTGTGCAGGGAACGGCTGAGCCAAGTTTCGACTGACAAAGTTGACATTCGTCTCCATAAGACACGCACGCCGGGAACCACAGAGGAAACGCTCATGGATGGTGACGGCTTGAGTACCACTTTGGAATATTTGTACTGCTATTGGGCGGTTCTCTTTTCAGCAAGAGATGCGAGCATCACTATGGCATGGCACCGAAAGCTCTGGCACCATATGGGCAGTTGCGGAATGGTGATTTGAGCACATCCCCAACTTCCCCCAAGGACTACGCCGCCGGCATTATACTACTCCATTGACTTGCCCCACCAACCGTACAGCCCTCACGCTCACGAACAACAGCATGAAGTTGGAGAGTACAGTGGAAGGTGGTGATATTTTTTGTTCTTGGCTACTCAGCCCACCAACCAGTCCTCCATCAAAAACCTAAGTGTACAATGTTATTGTGCTGTAATGACGCAAACCACCATTCTAATCTAACAAGAGCCAGCTCCGTCTCTTCTCACCATCTTCGAGCTCTTACAGGAGACCTATTCCTGTGTTTACTCTTATCAAAGCCGCCCTCGGTGAGCCGCATTCGCTGTGGTGCTTCCTTTCTGCTTCGACGAGCGTCGTTCACTCAATATAGAGCAGGTGAAACCTCAGAGGAGGGCGTCTGGGGAGCACTTCCACCTAGTATTGCTCTGGCTGACCGTCGTATATGGACATCAAGCTGTCCAAAGTTCAACCTGTCTCCGAGAAACGGACACGCGAGGTACTCCTCGCCCAACATTTTCCTCGTCCGTGATGAATCAGGGTCGACTCCAAAGGGACTGAAAAAATCAATCAGCTTTTCTCGAAACTTCAACGCAGTTGTCGATCAAACTTACCTGTGCCACAATCGCTTACTATTTTGAGTCCACAACTGCCACTTGTCTGGGTTCCTTTCATCATCGTTTCTCTCGTCACCACCCATAGCATCCCAGATTATCATCGCTGGCCTTGCCAACTCGGTGATGATTTGCTTGACGGGAACTGCCGGTTTGATCGAAAAAACAAGTGTCTTGTCGTCAACTTCGAGGAAACCTCTGTGTCCATCGAGAACACGGATGCCCATTTGGTTCAAAAGAACTCTGCATTCTGGAGAATATTCTGGTTCCTGCGAGTAGAATTCTAGGTGAGGAGTTTGCTGGCGCAACTTTTGCATCATGCTGACAGCAGCGGCATGTTGTGTAAAAGTCCTCGACCTTATTGACCTGTGTGCCTGGCAATCAGGACCACGCTGGCAGTCCTGACACGTCCGACAGACATTAGGCAAGAGCGCGCCGAGACCAAAGCATACAATCTTTGTTACTTGAATTTGCGGCGGCAGCCGATCCAATAGTAACATAAGGGTTAAACAGGTTGGACTTCGCTTCCATAGGTCTTGGTACAATGCCCACAGTTGATGGCTTTTCGACAAGGAGTCTTGAGAAAATGGTGCTGTGTGTCTGGGGAAACAGGCGATGCGATAGGCGCTGAAGGCTCCCCAGGTGCGCATTCGGCCATCAGGAGGAACTCCATTGACCATCTTTTGGATGGTACGGAAGCCTATTCTTGGCTCGTATCTGGCATTTGTGCAGTTAGTTACTCATGATACTGCAGACATGTTGTGGTCCGGCCTACTGTTCCTCCTAGGAATCCCAATCAGCCCCCGAAACAGACGCGCTTCCGTCCATTCCGCACAAGTTCACGTGTTCATGTCTTCCCCGGATCGCTTCTTCAAGGTAGAGGATGTGTTCTCTTCGGAAGAGGGGGGCTCCAGCATCATACAAGCTCTGGATGGTGTGAACGACATCGGCTTGCTCCGCCTTGGACAAGATCTTGTTGGCGAGGTCGCGCTCCAGAAAACATGTACAGTTCTCTGGGAAACGTCGGTTCTCCATGTCGTTGCAGAAGTAGTGCGTATGTGCGGGATCCCTAAGTTGTTTGTGTCAAGGATTGATATTGTTCGCTTCGACGATGCCTTTGGTCAAGCCGGTATAATCAAGCTCGTATGTGGAAATCGATGACTGGAGGGAGATATCTTGCGTGACGGAATGTTGTTCGACAGGGTAACGTTGGTCGAATTGGGTCACGGCAATAACACGCTTTGTTCTACTAAAACCAGATCCTTTGGTCGTTGCTTCAGGAAGGGAGGGGCTGGATTCAATTATCGAGCCCCTCGAGGCAACTGTCTGTCCCTTCATTGCTCATTGCTAAGTCAGGAGTGTATACAAAGAGGGCATGCCTGCCAGACGGTAGGTTGGATAAGAGGCAGGAAGTGATGCTACTTTCGGCGCCCCGTAAACAGAGCAATAAAGGAAACAATGCAGGCTTACTTTCCCAGATCACGGTTCCCTTCCCAGAAACTCGTCACGTCTGTATAAAGGTAAATTGGGGAACCACGACAGGTAGAAATTGCCGTAATCGCTAGAACTGGTGGTCCAGTCCACAGTCTTGGATTTGTTCAGCTATAACGCAGCTGTCCATCGTACAGAAGAATGCCGCGTTGCGACTCGAGTTCTTCAACCATCAAACCGAACAAAGCCAAGGCACCCAAGTTGCTAAGGTACAACGGTACCTACCTTACCCCAGACCCCTCAAAATCGAGTTCAAAAGGTGCATCATGTGACTGGGTAGAAGCTGGGGTTTACCGCCTGGCATGTTATTGGCTTCGTCCCTCCAGGTCCTGTAAGGTTAGTGTCATTCGCGCCGGAATCAGCCACTCACAGGCCAAGTTGTCTCGGGCTCTCAGCGGCACGATCCCCATTCTTGGTGGAGACTCTGGAGAGCCCCGAGAAGCGTGAACCTGTCCACCCGCAGCTTTCCCCAAGTTATCCACCGCTTCGGGTGCTGGGTGCCTCGGAACTCCACTGCCCGCCGGCATTCACATGTCGTAATGCGATCACGAGCCAGCGCCTGCTCCCCAAACTCGCCGCTTCTCCAACAACAAACGACTCAGCCTGCTAATGCGACCACGTGCTTTTCTTGAGCCATTTCAAACTACCTCACCACCTCACTATCACCATACGCGCAAAGCCAGAACGGTTCAATAGCGATCCCGAGACAGAGCATCAATCGCGTTCTCTAGCCTAACACCTCTCAGCTCGCTCCTCTTATTCGTTCCCGCCCTGTGATGGCTGCGCATCTGTAGTAGCACCTTCACCGTGGCGAGCCTGCGCGACTCGACCTCACGACGACGTCGCAAGTCTTGAAAGACATTCTTCACTTCCTACTGCCATTGCCATGGCAGAACAATCGACACTCCGCCAGTCGGCCGCGGAGGAGGCTCTCGCCGCCTTCTTCGAGAAGTATACGACACTGATTCGCAATCGCCTCCGAAGTACTTCCCGCACGACCCGACTGCTCGGAACACTTGCCCTCGCCGCATCCATAGTCCTCAGCGCCGCTGGAGGCAGACGCTGGTGGAGGCAAAGGCGTGAGGAAAAGGAGCAGGGCCGTAAACTTGTCCGTACGAATTCGTGGCTGCACAACAAGGATGGATCACGTACGATTTACGTCCCATACAAAGATGGAACCTCCAAGGTTGTTATTCAGACCACAAAGCCGCTGACCTTTGAGGCGCATCGCCGGCTCTTCCTCAACCCTCCGCGGGTATCTGGCCTCGGCGACGGAACCGTTCCCTCAGCGCAGACGAAGCCGGGCTTGAACCTGGCATTCCTACATCAGTTCCTTAGTCTCATGAGTATCATGATCCCGAGATGGTCAAGTAAAGAAGCTGGGCTGCTTTTGAGTCACAGCGTTTTCTTGATGCTTCGCACCTACCTTTCCCTCGTGGTCGCTCGACTTGACGGCGAGATTGTGCGGGATCTGGTTGCAGGACAAGGGAAGGCATTCCTCTGGGGACTAGTCAAGGTGAGTGGTGCTCCAAAACCTCCAGTCATCACGACCTCAACCAATGCTAACGAATCTCAAAGTGGTGTGGTCTCGGCGGTTTTGCGTCATACACGAATGCGATGATCAAATTCCTCGAATCCAAGGTGTCCATTGCCTTCAGAACCCGCCTTACTCGGTACATCCACGATCTATACCTGAACAACAACCTCAACTACTATAAGCTCTCCAATCTGGATGGTGGCGTCGGCCAGGGTGCGGATCAGTTTATCACGCAAGATTTGACACTATTCTGTGCTGCCGCTGCGAACCTCTACTCATCACTCGGCAAACCCTTTGTAGACCTTTGCGTCTTCAACTACCAGCTATTCCGCTCTTTGGGCCCATTGGCTCTAACTGGTTTGTTGAGCAACTATTTCCTAACAGCGAGCATTCTGCGCCGGCTCTCGCCTCCTTTTGGCAAACTTAAGGCAGTTGAGGGCCGCAAGGAGGGAGACTTTAGGGGGCTGCATGCACGACTAATCGCCAATGCCGAGGAGATCGCCTTTTACGGAGGTGCCGACATGGAGAAGACTTTCCTCAACAAGGAGTTCAAGTCTTTGAAGAATTGGATGGAGGGCATCTACATGCTCAAGATTCGGTACAACATGCTTGAGGATTTCATACTCAAGTACAGTTGGAGTGCTTACGGCTACCTTCTATCCTCATTACCAGTATTCCTTCCAGCATGGGGAGGTCTGGGCGGCGCTGCTGAGCTGGCCGAAAATGCTGCAAAGGGAAGCAGGGAGCGCGGGCGTATGAAGGAGTTCATTACGAACAAGCGTCTTATGCTCTCACTCGCGGATGCTGGCGGAAGGATGATGTACTCTATCAAGGATCTCTCCGAGCTTGCCGGCTACACTAGCCGAGTCTACACCTTGATTTCAACACTGCATCGCGTTCACGCCGATGCTTATTTCTTGCGAGGGCAACAGAACGAACTTTACTCCCTCTCGGATGTTCAAGGAACCATCCAGAAGGGTTTCGATGGCGTACGGTTTGAGAACGTGCCTGTTGTTGCCCCATCGTTATGGCCCAACGGTGGTGAGGAGCTAATGGATTCCCTCTCAATGGTTGTCAGGAGAGGAGAGCATCTTCTGGTGAGTCATTAATTATCTAAGGACGGGAAATGACAGTGTACTGACGCTCTTAGATCTCTGGCCCCAACGGTGTCGGTAAGACGTCTATTGCCCGTATTCTTGCTGGCCTTTGGCCAGTCTACAGAGGACTCGTCAGTCGTCCAAAGGATATTGGTCAGGATGGCATCATGTTCTTGCCGCAACGACCCTATCTCAGCATCGGTACGTTGCGCGACCAGGTCATCTACCCTGACGGGCATCACGATATGCGCGAGAAGAGGAAGTCTGAAGACGATTTGAAGCGCATTTTGGAAGATGCCCGTCTTGGCTACCTTCCCGACCGTGAAGGTGGTTGGGACACCCGTAAAGAGTGGAAAGATGTTCTTAGCGGTGGAGAGAAACAGCGCATGGGTTTCGCCCGCGTATTGTACCACGAGCCTCAATTCGCCATTCTTGACGAGGGTACTAGCGCCGTGTCTCAAGACGTCGAGGGCCTGCTCTACGAAGTGTGCAAGGAGAAAGGAATCAGTAAGTTGAAGAGTCATTCCATGCCCTACAGGTTTTCTGACATGACACAGCTCTCATCACCATTTCTACACGCGCCTCACTCAAGAAGTATCACACGTACAACCTCATTCTCGGAGGCGGAGAACGTGGCGATGAGTGGGAGTTTGAAAGAATCGGAACAGAACATGAGAAGATGCAGGTCGAAAAGGAGCTCCAGGACCTTCGTGAACGCCTTGAACAGGTCGAGAACTGGAAGGCAAGACGCCAGGAAATCGAGGAGGAGCTTTCCAAGGTGTGGGTGGCGGGCGGAGACGAGCTAGACCCTCCTTCCTATGCCGAGAGTGAGAGCGACTCCTCCAAGGGAAAGGGCAAGGAGACGGCGTCGCTGTCTTCAACGCAAGAGATTCTGGGTGATGCTTGAGATGGGAAGGTTGATCTGCACTGCCTTGTACGGATACGACTATAGGATATACGGAGTACCTGGACATGTGGGAGGAAGGTTGATTTGCGTCATTGTTGAACAAGAGTAAGAGCCATCATACCAGTATCCATTACCTGTTCATAGAAACTTCGATATTAGTGTCTTTAACACCGCCCTGGTTTTCCTACATGAGCC